TTGCTCAATTTCCGGAACTGACCGATGGGTGGTTTTTCCATACTTCGTGCTACCTTTCTTTTGTAATCCAGCAAAACAAAGTTTGGGTCAGATGCGGACTGAGAATTCCCCACCCTAGCGTATGGAACATGCAGCAACTTGTCATAATAAAAGAGTGGACGCTAAGGTTGGAAAAGAATGTTAGGGAGGAACTTCCATAGATGCTTGCATGTCAAAGAAAATCCCGGTAATAAAGTTCAGTACCAGAAAAATTTCTGTATTTATTTACCGCGATGTATTCTTATAGTTTAATGCCGGAATGTACCGAACACGTCAACTTTTACGAGGACAATACTTTAGCAAATGAGTACGCATTATTACAAGCATTGTCCTTTGCATGCTGTAGATCTTCTCCACATCCGTGAAAAACACGTAATTCTTTTTCTGGTGTCGACAGTTGAAGAAGGCACTGCACTTCATCTAAATACCATTATTTGATGGTTAGGAATCAAGAAGAAAACATGCAAAGCTACTTTGCAGCAGTAAGACCTGTGACAGCTTTCCTCTCGAAGACAGTGAACTTCAGTTCTTGGCCAACAAAAAACTTTTTAAGAAGACTCCCGTCCTCGTGGAGAAGACGTTGAAACAAGTGTTCGGAAACTTCTGGAAAACTGACAAAAACATCACTTCCGCTGAATTGACCATTACTCTCAGCGTCACTGAAGTCCTCCTAAAACTGGGAAGAAAAAGTAAAATAAATTATTGAAGTATAAAGCCTCAAATTCAGTGGGTGCAGCGCGAAACCGACATACGGTTTTTGGGATTGCTATCTGGTCCAGTGACGCATTGCACGAACAGGTAAAAGGTTGTGAAAAAACCTAACAGGTCTTCTCTCCTTCATTTTTTCTTTGGATCTACTAACTCAATGGCCTGAAACATTTGAGCTAAACCTGCATCCCTACTCTCCAGTCCTTTTTCATTCCATTTCTGTTGAAACGATGAGACTTAACCTTATCTGATGCTGCACAGTTCGCCTCAGAGCCTGTAGAAAATACTTGTTTCTCACTGTTCTCTTCCACATTGCCAATTTCAGGAGCATTACTTGCAGGCTTGTTCACGTGAATTGGCGCATATGATATTTCATCAACACCTAGGTCCTCTATCTTGCTGTTTTCTATTGAAAAGAACATTTCCCGTGCAGCCAACGTCTTCGCAAGCTATAAAAGAGGAGAAAAATGAATAGTTAGCGTGGATGGATGAGAAAGTAGTTATGAAGGTAACTCTTTGCAAAACAGAAGAGTATTTTTAGAGCTGTAGTGGTTTAAATAAAACCTTTTTTTGTTTTGCCTCACCAGTAGTACTTAATTTTCCCACAGCACAATTTGCAATAAACCACGGCCCCTGCGCGCCAGTCTTTTCATCGAAAGTATATTCAGGAGCACTGAGTTTCGAACGAAGACAACTGCAGATAAAAAGGCAAAATAAGTTATGGGCAATAGTAGTAGAGGAGCAACAGACGAGTAAAAGGTACAATTCAATGAGCTTTCCTATCCAGTTCTCCGCGGTTGCTGCACCAGTGTCTTCATCAGCCTCTAATTTCGCAGACAATTTGTTACTGGAATTAAAAGTATTTTACAAAACATTTCAAGCTTCAAGTTAAAGTTGTTACTTAAATCTGATTATTATGCTTAAAAGGACCACCGAGAAGGACGGAAAAGAAACAATATGATTTAAAATGCCAAATCTTTCATAATGAAGTGTCGACTGATTCCAACTTTATTCGGTCTGTAATGTTACTGAAGAGAAACAAATAATGCCGCAAAAAGCAGCTCAGTAAAAGCCACTAGGAACTTTTTAAGACCGACAGTACCAAAGATTGTGTGTCCAGTAGTGGGTGGTGCCGCAGATGCAATAGGTTACTCAAGAGTAATTTTAATGAAGGGCAACTGAATAGTGGAAAGCTAATGGCGGAACATTAGACCCGTTTTTTACTCAAGTAACTTCCTTCTTAAAATGGTTGTCATTTATCAATCTAATTCTGCTCTTAGCCGAAAAGTCAGAGAAAAAGAGAAAACTGGAAGTAAGAAGTGTTTCAAAAAACGAAAAACCAGTGATTTGATCATGGTGGGGAGGAAAGAGATAGAGAGCAAATAAGCAAGTTGAGGAAGGTGAGTGAGGCGAAAGCGAAAAAGAAGTATGGAAAAAAGCATAGAAAAGGAGGAGTTGACATGACAACGTCACTAGTTTCAGAAAACTGTACACCTCAGACGCCACAATCTAGAACTAAGAGAAACTGTTGAGTTTGCTCCGCTCTGCTCCAAGTTCAAGACTATGCTTTCTGAGACTCATTAAATCACCATCCATTCATCAACAATCGTGTGAACTGTACAGGAGGCTTGCAAGCTTCACCAGGCAAACCTAATTTTAAAAACACTGAAGGAATCGAAGGAGCATTTCCAGTGATAAATTAATACATTCCCACAGGCGATTAAGCAACATATAACAAACTTGTTACTTCCCCTCAAGCCGGCATTTCATCTTGAATAGTCTATTTTTACCAGTGTGATCTGTTTAACGCTAAATAAAGTACTAACAGGGTTTCAGACGCTTCTTCTTTTGTCGATCCTAAGTCGAACCCAGCCAATTCGTTTTTTGCGACCACCTAAACAAAGAAAGCGTAAGCCAAACAGAACTTTACGAACGAAAATAGACTGATTGTTTAAAAATTTAAGTACCTGGGAGAGAATCTCTCTCGCGGCAAGTTGTTTTGCGCTCTTCTTAGATTTCGCTTTCCCGCATCCTACCATATCACCGACTGAGCACCGCATCACAAAGTAATCATTCTGCTAAGAAGAAAAAATGGAAAAAAAAATTATAGATGGTTTACTATAAATGCAATTTTGGGTCAAGGAAAGTGAGTTGCAACGACTTTCAGGCAAAAGCTTATGTTGGTTCCAGCACCAAGGCAACCAAATAGAGTAAAAGAAAAGAACTTTGCTTAGAAAACTCAAACCCTAAGTAACTGACAGAGCAAGATTAGAATAGATACTACCTGCAAACTACTAGAAGAAAATTGCTACAAAAAGCAAGGTTTTAGTGCAATTCAGATACAATAGTTCAAATGATATTCCTTAAAATAAGGCGAGCTTAAAATGCCAGCAGCAGTACAGAAAGATGTTCGTATAATTACCATTATATTGTTCGTATAATTAATATAGTCCTTTTGAGAATCCTTTGCAAAATATTTGTACAGTGTACCTAGTTTACTAGTTGTAGCGAGATTAAACAGCAAAAACGAATCTTATTTTACAACGGCAAAAGCTGATTAGAGAATCCTTTAAAAAAATTTTGCCAGAAAATTACAGGTAATTGGACTCAAAAACTACCATTTTGAAAACATTTCAACTTACAAATTCATTAGGAGTGAGGATCTCAAAACGTGGACTCCATCCCTTCCTAGCACAGCCGTTGTTCAATATACTCAGAAACGTGGAATCAGAAGAAACGCACATTGTTGATCTCCCTAAATCCTCTTGTAAGGATGTTCTGCTTTTTGGAGCTGTCTAAAAGTTGTTTTTACTACAAAGTGCATATGCTTAATTAAAACTTCAGTGAAAATGTGAAGAAAGTATAAACGAAAATGTTTGGAAAAAAGCATTCTAAAACGTCGATCACTTGGGTGGTTTTTCAAATGATCTTGAAATAAATGTGTTAATTAAAGTACAGCTAGAAATTTTTATACGGAAAAATCGTTAGAGGATCTGAGTGGTTTTGTACGATATTTCATGAACCAAAAATCGATGAAAATTTTTCTATTGAAATGAGACTGTAAAAAATGTGACAAATGCCGTATCAGTTTGGGTAGCAAGTAAATTTTACATACCTGAGTCGAAGAATCTGGTGTTCCTGTTCCTCTTTCCTTGACTAACTGTAGATTCGCAAAATAACGAATTAAGTCAGACATACCCGTATGACCAGCAGTAGAAATACACTAAAGCATAAGTTACTTGTCAACTCCCATGAGAACACCTATTAAAGTTTCTTCTCGTCCGAAGTGCCATTTAATGTCACAATCTTCAGAAAGACTTCTCTGCTCAATTCCAAATACTAGATGATGGCACTGTTAACGAATCCGACGATGCTTTACATTATATACGCATTTGTTTAAACGTAAACGAAGTGAAAAAAACAGACGTTTTGAGAGCTTTTTCCATTGAAAAGTTAAATCCACCTTTCGTGGCTTTAAAAAAAAAAGGGACCAACAGGCTCCTCATGACTGTAAGTCAGCCGACTTACCCAGCACTGTATTCCACCTGCGACACTTCCGAAGCTATTAGCTTATCAACGTCTTTCTTATAGTGCCCTAATAAAGTTGGCAACGAAATTAGCCGGCTAACTGCATTGTTTCGGACACTCTATGGAAAAGGTGCTGGCAGACGTCCGAACTCTAACGCGGCCGTTCCCAGATAAGTACCTCGCGGTCTTCAAGTAAAAAGGTGTCAACTGGGACTTCTTCTTGTAATGGTTTCCGTGTTTGCTCGAGTCATCTAAAATGACTACAGAAAATTTTGACCACAGCATCTCTGCCTTCCATCAGTTTAAGGTTGAATAATACTTCTGACTTCCAAGCTTTTGTTACTTTTTCTGCTAACAGCACAACACAGTATATCCAATGACGTCTTTTAAATGATACTTTTCGGCTGGTCTTTTCCATGATCAAACGCAAACATTCTTTTTCCTTTTTTTTTTTTTTTT